CTCTACGTGTAGGACACAGTGCGCCTTATAAACAATCGCAGGAGAATGATTCTGTACGCATAGGACACAGTGCCCCTCGTACCATGTGACCCGGATGCATGGGTGCACGGGTAGATAGCAGCGTCTCCCATTTCAGGTGCATTTGACCTTTCAACTCCTCAGGAATATTATTCCACCTCTCCAACTTAATGAAAATGCCAAGCGTGTAAACCATTCAGCTTCTATAGGCAATTGTACAATCTTCACACTAGAGCCCCCATTTATACGCATACACGAGTTTCACGTACAATACGTATCGCGTATTGAATAAAGTTGTATAGAAATCCGTGTAGTAAATACCCGTGTCCATATTACACGTGTATTCTACGGTTATAATTATTCTGAATTATTTTTCACAGTCAATAATAATAGTAATAGATAATAATAATAATAATAATAATTTATTAATAACACGTGTTTTAGACGAGAGCACTAGCTTCGTACTTTATCGTTCGATTTTTGCGTACATTTCTGTCTGCGATTATCGAGAAAACTGAAATAAATTCAGCGCAGTGGGTTTTCCTATAACTGATAATTCCGTATTGAGATTACGGTTGAATCGCTCGAAATTCGGTCAATCGGCGAAAGTTAACGACACCGTTCTCAACGCAATCTCCCCACGCTATCGTCGCTCCTCGCGTGCCTGTCGTGAGCCCACGCCTGCATGCTTAATATTTAAAGGCCCGTCAATATCAACACGTCGAACCAACGTCTCCGTGGTTATCACCTTAATAGCCATTATCGGGATCGATAAGGTGTTACATTGCAAAATGAAGTGTCTATCAATTATCATGATTGATTCAACAAGCGTGAACGTATATTCCGTAAAACGGCCAAGTCGCGTGGATCGTTTCGAGTAGACTTATCGTTGACGCGAGGTCATGGAACGGTCATTAACTTAGAAATCGCATAAGTAACATTTCTGCACAAACGCGAGGTGCGCTATTTTATTTATTTAATCAGAAGTCGAACGATGGAGTAACGCAGCGTTGTGGTGGGGGTAATGGCCTCGATGGCCTTGAACGGTCATTTGGGTCTCGCACGTACAACCAGCCCTCCCAAACGCGAGTCGATCTTTGAGAATTTTTAAAATAATAAATACTTGATGTAAGAAATTGAAAATTGGATGCACGAACGTATACGCTTTGAAGTACGTCGTATACAATTTTTAACGCAAATGGGACAGTATCTCGCCGCAGAAATACGGTATTGTTTGTCGACGCAAATGAAAAATTCCTCGATAATCCGCGTATTAAATAAAAATGTTTTTCTTCCTAGCAGCATTAGGATATTACTCACGTTTGAAAAGAGCCTGCGAGTTTCAGATATGCATGCATCATTTCGCACAAAAGCAATTATCATACGTCAATGATAACGCCGGGCGATTAGAGTTTGGTATCACTATGCGCTACAACAAACGTGCGATGCTCGGCAAAAATGCATCCGAGTACTATGTTTCTCACGTTATCGCGTATAATTTATGGCGGACATTAGACTCGAATCTATTATTAAAAAAAAAGGCTCATTCCGAATCCAACGCGCGGATAATGAGCGCTTCTTATCGCTTCCAAGTTGATTGCACCTAAATTCGCGAACGCAAAGAAGCATAATTTATCGAAGGTCCCGATCCAAATTTTCGTTTCGCTTTGATTATCGGTCGAGACCTGCAATAAATCGGGCTTACGGTACAATACATGTTATTTATTTGCTGCATCCGATCGGTTTTATTCCGACTCGCAGGAGCGCGTCACTTCGACGAAACGAATAAAGACAACCGTAATCTCGAAATAGTCCGGTCGGCGTATTAACTGAAAAATTCAAGTAAATAAACATTGAACTTCGAGTGAGCGTTTTATCATCATCCTCTCGTGCAACTTTTCCAGGCTTCAATCGAACAGATTAGTTTATCTCAATTGCCGCCTATATCGCGCTATGAACTAAATTCATCTGCACTGTTAATTAGCGATAACACTGGTTTAATGTGATTCCCTAATAAACCGAAACTACGATGTTTCCCGTCGTTTTAATTTTCGACGTCGACGTAGCCAGGAAACTATCGCACACTTTTTTTCTGAAAGTATCGCACAGCGTGCGTGGCCGTTGAATGAATCTATACACACGCGGGAAATGAAGCTAAGTAAGTCCACGCGAGGTTTCGAGTTGAGCTACTAAACATTTTTCGTTACCTTGTTTGTTTCGTTTTATTGCGATTTAAGTGCGAGCTTGGAGAGGTTACTGACTCCATTCGCTTTCCTTATTTGGTATTATACTGTCTTATTTTTTTGCCTTTAGGCTTTTCCATTCCTTGTATTTTTTAGCCAGCCCTAACCCAACCATGAAAAAACCGAGATGGAACGCCCGGGATTCGAACCCGGGTTCTCAAGCGTGGTAGTCGGCTACTGTACGCACTGCTCTACTGTCCGTCCCTTTTCGTTACCTTTGTTACACAGACTTTTATGCATCCCGTAATAAAACGGTTCGATCGATCGGCAACTTAATATGCGCTATCATCTTTCTTCTGTGGCGTTCATGTTCCTCGCGTAAGCAGAATATAGATTTCGAGGAATTTCCGATTCTATTCGCCAATACGCGTCGTCATTGCATTCTCGGAATCCTCATTGTCGCCGATCGGCCCTTCGCCGACGATAACCAGCTGGTATTGAAATCGAAGAACCCAAACGGCTCGTATGAAATTGCAAAACAAGCTCGAGACGAGGTAGAGATTAGAAAGTTTGTTTAAGAGAATATAAGATAAATCAAAGGATAGAATGTATCGGGGAGGATGTGTGCCGAGGTGAACGAAAGGGAAGAGTGAATGGCGTCACTGTTCGCAAGTTAACGCTCGCAAATCCGACGCGACGGGTCCACATGTTCGCCAAATACAGGACGAAACGATGACCCTCCCAACGTTTTTATCTTTGCATACATGTACCCAAGAGTCCCTCCTTTACAATCTCTCGAACGGAATATTTTTGATGCCGAGTCTTCAGCATGGAGATTTAGGAGGGTTAAAGGAAGATTATCTCTCTATATCTCTCCTAATGCTCCAGATTAAAAGCTCGACAACAATATTAATACGCTTACTATTGCGAAATTGCAAATCACCCCGCAAATCCTTCCCCTGTTAAGTACCATGGTACACGAAACGCTCCGCAACAATTTTCTAGATTCCTCTTCTGCCCTAATAACGCTATGAGGACAATCGCGTGTCGATACCTCAGGTTTTCGAGGTCCTCATTGGTCTCTTCTGTGATGGGACAGGAGCCAGGGGCGGCGCTGGAGTTACTGTAGGCACATACAGAGAGATACTGTAAGCACAGTTTCGTTACAAATTCGTCGCTTTTAGTCTATAAAGCTCATTCATGAATATGTATCTACGCTATACGATAACGTTTCATTACCAATTAACCTGTCATGTAAATCGGAGCAGGGCCGGCGCAGGAGTTCCTAGCTCCCCGATGCAACATCCTTCCATCCTTATCCTCGAAGAACGTGACCTGGTGCGATACTGTAAGCACAGTT